AACCCGCAGCCACCTCCCGAATCGTCAGCCACCCCCCCCCCCCAACCTTTGACACGGGTCAAACTTCCATCTATTTATAGGTAGTTAAATTACCGGAACATGTATTGGGCGCAGTGATTAGCAATGATAGTCGGAATAGAGAGATTGTTTTGTTCTCTCTGTATTCATCTGCACCACACGAATTTAATTGATGTTTTCCCCTGGACTCTGCCTTTACTAAAGTCTCGAATCTAGATCTAGTTGTAATCTAGTTACAGGTTGCAGATTTAATAAATTGCCGACAGAGAGAGAGAGAGGAGGGGGAGGAGTAGATCTTGCGAGAACTTTCGGGCAAAACAAAATGGCGACCCGCGTAGTTCGGCTCGATTCGAAAAGCCATAGCATCTTTGTAGACGATCAAATTAGCTTAGTTTTGTGCTATAACGTCATTTTGTTCTTTGCTTTTGTTAATTTGATCATCCACACCGATAGAAAGTATTTCGAAATTAGGAAAAACAGGTCTTGTTTCCCACTGGGTGAAAATAGCCAACGCTGGCAAGTCTCATCAGGGGTGAGAGGTCAATCGTAGGGTTTTTATTCTCACCCCAAGTGAGGATATCTACTTCCTTACTTAAATAATTAGGTGATTAAACTTGATCTTTTATTGACAATATAAAAGTCAATTTAAGCTTCATTTCGTTAGAAAAAATTGTTAGGTTTGCTAACTTCTTAGACTTTGTGTTAAACAACACTTTTAACAAAACGAATCATTACAAGCCTAGCCTTGGCCTTTATTGTGATCTCGAAGGTTTAAAAGTAGAAGTAAAAGAGTCAATTACTAGAGTCTAGAGTCTAGATCTAGTCCAATTTATTTAATCTCTTGAATGTACTGGATAACAGAAATCTGCAACCTGCCACTAGATTACAACTCTAGATCTAGATCTAGATTCGAGATTTTAGTAAAGGCAGAGTCCAGGGGAAAACTTCAAGAAATTCTCGTGGTGATGAGTAAAGAGAGACCAAAACAATCTCAATAAATAATATATCGCGACCATCACGGCACATCACTTCACCTATACATGTTCCGGTAACTACCTATAAATAGATGGAAGTTTGACCCGTGTCAAAGGTTGGGAGTGGCTGACGATTCGGGAGGTGGCTGCGGGTTGACGAAAGGGAAAAGCGCCTCGCCGTCCTAAATTATTGCTCGGCGAGCGTCTCCCCGAGTGCTCCCCGACATAATAAGGTCAACAGTCATGGGCAGATGCTCGTCGCGATATGACCAGAATTTGGCATTGTCTTATCGGGAATGCTCCTAGTCTCTTCTCCTATAGATGTGAACACTGCATTAGTTGTTTTAAAAAGGTGTCAGGTTCTTAGTTAGTCGCATAAAGCTGCAGCCACATCACAGATTTCACTGGTCAGAGCATCGTGTGAGATGTCCACGTCGTACTTGAAATAGGTATACGTTTTCAGATAATTCTCAATTTCAACTAGAACGACACGATAGACGTGCCAGAGTCTGCACAAAACCCAACAAAAGGCACATCCCAGATTGCATCAGACAAGCGAAAGATTTCGGTGGAGGCAGCATCATGGCGTGTGTTGGTTTCAGCAATACTGGCAAGACAGTACCTCATCCTATTCGTAGGAACGTTACAGCTTAAGGCTACGTTAATCAAGTTCTCGGGTCACACGTTGCACCTTTATTTCAAAACCAAAGACACACATTCAAGCGTGATGATCCTTCTGCTCATAAAGCTGATGTGACAAATCAATTTATCAAAGCTAACTATATTCCTCCCGTGCACCAATGATAGCGCATTCTCCAGATGTCAATCCGATTGAGCACACCCACAATAGCAACAAGTGACATCTATAATGACTGCGCACAGGCTATATAAAGCAAATGAACAAACCTGATATAATAGGACGTTTTCAAAAAACGAAATCAAATAACTCTTTTCACTACCCAGTTTAAAACCTGTTTTAATGAGCACATGCCAGGGCTGAATCAAGCCTGGAACCCCTTTGGAAGGGAGATCTCCTTTCCAACTCCCCCAGTTGCATACACAACAGTCTTGTAACCTAAATCCTAATATGCAAATAGGAACGTTTAGTTAGAATATACTGAAGGGAGACTATTCTTCTAATGCTATACTATGAAGTAAATGAACAAGAAATGGAAATGAAATGAACACAGGTTGTTCCTACTAGTTTTATCTAAACAGAGAAATTCTGTTGAAATTATTCAATTTTGCCTAAAAAGGTATGGTACAACTAAGACGTAAATATACAGGGTGATCCCACACAATCTTTTTTTGTAAATTGTATAACTTTCCGCCACACTGAAGCTTTGTGTTTAAAATCTAAACACAATATTTGGCAACCAAAAGGAATTTGTCTGATATTCATTTTAGATAATTCTACAAAATTATGATGCTTTAGATTGCCTTCATTTGCATAGCAAGACGTGCCAGTTCGCATTAGGCCTGCCCCTGAATATCGCAACAGTCGCACCATATTGCAAGCTAAAGCAGTCTAACGAGTCAACACAAGTCTGCATAATATAGTGTTTTGCTCACGTTTCCCCAGCCTGCTGAGATCATGGTTAAATCTATTAAAAAGCAGAGAATCTTTTGTATTGAGTCTTCAAGTCATCATCCCTGATATTTTGTAAGTTTTGCACGAGGTACGGAACGAATGCTATTAAGTTTCCCCAAGGCCTTCTTTGATGTCATGAGTAGATATGCACCGTCACAGTTTGAATTGATAGAGAATCATGATAAAACATTCCTAGGCAAAACAACCGCTACAGGTCGAAAACGCACCGTTCACATCATGTCACCAGGATGCAGAATTAAATAGTATAGTCCCATGAGACGTCTGTCCGCTGACGATATCTGCGGCTAGAATTTTCCTACACTTTAACGGTCCCCTTTCTTAAGGTAGATCTTCACCTATGACAGCAGCATTTTCATGTTCGTGAAGTTGGCATGGATCAGAGGATGGCAATGTGTTCGTAGTTCCTCGATCGTCTTGAAAAGCGTGAGCATTTCCTCAATGGCATTCGATTCAGTGACAAAGCTCATTTACACCTTTCATGATATGTAGACTCTACAAATGCAGTATATTGGGCCCCCCATGGGCAGCACACGCATCCCGTATCATGTCTACTATATACTAATGAAGAGTTTACATTCACGGTTGGCAGGTCTTTATGTTTGGCCACCACTGAACACCACGAACAACGCGTCAAAAATGTTTCGAATCCTAACTAGGACCTGTATAGCGCTGGCTCTTAGAATTCAACACTTAAAGTGTTAGATTTTAATTCTATATAAGATGCATAAAATATTGTTAGAATGTTACAGGTATGAAAAATATTAAACGTTAAAAGTAAAGAAAGCAAACAAATCAGTTCATGACTTTCGTTACAAAATTTCTAATTTGTGCATTTTGCGTATGGGTGTGTTTTCTTTAAGCCATTTCCGTTTTCAAAAATTAGTTTCATCTATATAAATTTTAAGTCAATCAAATTCATTTTGAATAAATTACGTCTTAGCAAAATTACAACATTCAAGGACAAGTGTTGTGCAAGATATTCAGAAGAAATGTTGCAGTGTTTTTTTAGATCACCCTAACGTTCAAATCGGAGAATTGTTAGACTTTTCACAGTTATAGTCAAGACACTTTTTTCGTTTTTCGTACAGCAAAGTCAAGTCCCATTCACTCAGTATATCTGTCTCGATCAGGGGAAAGGCTGACATGTTTGACAGGGTAATCAAAGTGAGACAAGAAACCGGATAGATATGTCACACAAGAATCTTACTCGTGCGCAACACTGAGTTGTGAATGAAAGCAAATTATGAATTATTCATATTGTTTGTTTAACCACCAAAATAATCGGGAAAGTATCTCAATAAATATTTATTCCAGCTAACATTAGATTCAACTATAGATGTGGATACACAAACAAAAAACAAAGAAGCAGAGGTGTCAATGCAACATGTAATACATGACACTTATCATTTTTTTAAAATTTCAGATCTGGCTGTTATTGTCTAACATTTTGCGACCACTAACCAGTGTCATAATCGAGGTCACGATCTAGTTATGGGACGGTAAAAAGTCAAGGGAAAAAAGAAGAACTTGCAGAAGTCATGAGATTAATAGGAGTTAGTTCCCCTCTCTTTTGTGAGGTAGACTCGACCATAGTAATAATTTATTGTTAGCTTTCATAATCAGTGCTTGTGACTGCTTATGACAGTGGCCCGAAAGGGGTGAATAGGGTATATGTGGCAATGAAACAATTTTGATTGTTGTGCACATGTTCCCTTCAACTCTTCTTGTAGACTCTTCCAGCCGCACTTTAAACTTACATAATCAAAGCATGTGACTGCTTATGGAGTAGCCCGAAATGTGTGAACAGGTTATTTATGTGATAATGAAACGGTTTTGAAAATTAGGCATACTGTTCATTGGTGATTTTGAACGTCATTTTACATTTAATTTTTGAGGTCTAGATCTACGTCTATGGGGGAGTTGGACTGCGACGATGTTCTAAATTTAGAAAGGGAAGCTGTGATTATTTATTTGATTATATAGACGCTTTGCCACTGGTCTCGATGTTACTATAATAATATATTGGTGGGAAGCCCCAACTTGGACCTCCCTTTGGTCCGTCCCTGGCACACGTTGCGAAGTAGCAAAAACTAAATGAAAGAAGTTATGTGTCTTGTAATATTAACTATCCTTTGATTTGACTGAAGAGAGACATTTCTAGAGAGTTAATTCTTTTTGACACTTAAAAATGACTGCTCTGATAAGAACTTTTATTAGAGAAAGAAAACGAAGGCAACCTTCTGTCCGAGCAGATGGAGGCGATGCCACTCTTTTGGCCCGCAAACACGTGCATCCGGGGACGTGAGGGAGTGTGGTGGGGAGAAGGAGAGAGGTCAAGTATGTTTACTCTATAATATTTCTTAAAAAACCCCAAATGTTTTGGGGCAAAGACGTACCCGGAGCAACAGTTGTGGCCGGCAATGTGGTGAACCTCTCCTCGTAGCACACCTCATAGAACCCGGCACACTGCAGCACGTGCAAAACGTTGCCGCTGCTCACGTAGTCCTTTCCTTCCTTGCACGAGGGCTCACGGTAACCGTAACCTGGTTTTCTGAACGCCTTCAGGAGTCTGACGCTTACAATGTCGCCGTCAAATTCTTTGTCATCTCCGGCGTACGCTTTGAACTTTCTGCATTTGGGCTCTGTCGAAAAGGGAACAACATTCTGGAGTGTGGTTATTCGTAAATTTGATTGTTAACCTTTTACGCCCACATCGGAGCAATTTGTAACGTTTAGCATTGCTTCAACTCAGACAGAGGTATTTGACAAGATAGATTTCACCATGCCGGGATCAATTTCATGGCTTATTTATCCATCGTCTTAGAGTCTTACATCACATATAATTTTAGTATTCTCTTCCATAATACCCCTCGCCGTCTGATACAGTTTGGAGTTATTATAAGATACGATAAGATAAGATAAGATAAGATAATACTTTATTATCCCAGAGGGAAATTTTTCTGTATAGGACCGTAAAAACACATGCATACATAACATTTTTAAATTATATATTACTCTCATTAAAATTCTATATGAAAAGAGAAGTAAAGCCGACAAAATGTACATTCACATCAAATGCATCATTCAACCACAGACAGGAATTTAAATACAAGACCTTTGGAGTTATACATAGATACATCTCTAGGAGCAACACACACCTATGCTCATTCTGACAAAAGCCCAATAGGGGGTGCCCGCATACGCGATCGGGTCGGGTCGGGTCGGGCCGGGTCGGGCCGGGTCGGGCCCATCGGGTAGTCAGGGCTAGCCAAATTGAGGGCGCAAAGCGGCCATCGTGGCACAAACCGATCGACACGATCGGTGACCTACAAAAACAAACGCGTTTGTTTTCTGGCCTGCGAATCGCGCGATCGGGTGGCTTGCAGCCAATCACAACAAGGCTGAGTCACGTGTCCATTTTGACCCATGAATACATTTAAGTAATACTGTGGCCTCGATTCGACTCATTTTGGAAGGAAATTTGCATCTTTAAGTACATTTTTGCTTTTTCATTGCACTTTACATGATCAATAAAGTTGTATCGCATTATAATAGGTTGTACAATATAAGATTTGTGCTGAAAAACAGCAGAAAAACTGAAATCAAAGCACTTGACCTAGATCTAGATCTAGATTATTTCGTTCTCAGGAGGGCTAAAAATAGGCCATGTTAGACCAAGAATCTAGCTAAGGACGTGTCTAGATCTAGATCTACGTTCTCTAATGTTTAGTGCTTCCAATTTTCCGCCAATTTTTAGTTTACTCCAGACCTTGTCTACAGGTCCACTAGATCTAGGCCTAGATTCTAGATCTACATCTCGATTTATTATGTCGCTTTGCCTTTCCTGAAACAGTGCTGTTATGAAGCTTAATCTACCCGTCGCTGATAACAGTTCTGATGGCCGAGTGAACAGTGTGTCTGCGTTTGAAACGCGAAGTATTATTTTGTGAGCGTGTGTTCGAATCTCAGTCCGAGCTTTTTTTTTTCCCCTTCTTCTCATCCTCCCAACTTACCAACAATTTTTCCCATAATTATAATTTGTTGCTTTTTAGTTTTTTTAAAGTGGTAAATAAATCTCCAGTGCTGTCTGTTGGTCTCGTAATCATAACTCAATGGGCTAAAAATAGGTTTAGCTGGTCTGATGTCGGTGGACGCGGATCGTTTTGAGTCGCTTCTACACCATGCAAAAACGTCGTACATTAGCCTGGCCTGGAAATGATCTTATTTTGGTGGACGCATAGACTAAAGCAAGTTACCAAGCAAGCAAGCACTCACGAATACACACTCACACACACACACACACACACACACACACACACACACTCACACACACACACACACACACACACACACACACACACACACACACACACAGAGTCCAAGAGTACGGTAGGCATATTTTTATGTATTCATGGGTCAAAGGTCCAGCCAATCGTAGTCTGGGTTGTGTAGTCGCATGTAGGTTAAAGGTTTCTCTACTTTAACTTCCAGGGCGTCGAGTACAATCGCGCGGGGCTGTAGTGTGCACTGAAACCCCGACCCGATAGGCCCGACCAGACCCGACCCGACCCGACCTGAACGCGTTTGTGGGCACCCCCTATTATGCTAGATGGTAAAAAAAAATCTTTTATACCTTTCTTTCTTTGGTTTTGGTTGTACATATCTGCCCCTGCGTGATCTTACAATTTGTTTGGAAAGGTCGTGATGGGTCGTTTATATTGCTTTTTATATTTTTTATACGTGTGGTGTTATATATTTCATCCATTCTATTAAAATCATATCCAGAGATCTTGATGGCTTTCTTAATGTTTCTATCAAATGTTTCTTTGTCTTCCACCTTACAATTCACACCCCAGCAGCAAATACTAAATAATAGCACACTTTCATTTGTAGAATGGTAAAAAAAGGGACATAATCTTATTGTCAACACGGAAACTTCTTAATTTCCTTAAAACAAACATTCTTTGATTTACTTTTTATGCTCAAGAGCATCGTAGAGATGCCAGTCAAGTTTGTTATCGATTGTAACACCAAGATACTTGTAAGAGCTTACCACCTCCACTTCCTCATCTTGTCTAGAAAGACAACATCGTCACAATTTTAAGATATTTCAGTTAAATATCATCAGCCCCTTAATGGCGTGAAATGTATTCTTCATTCTTATATTATGATATTTCGTCAATGCTTCTCCTCACTCTTTCGTTATCCTTACATTTGTTTTATCGCCCACCCGAGCTTAAAAGCACGCGACATGGGAACCTTTGAAGAGCATTCTTGGACATTGGATTATATATATATATATATATATATATATATATATATATATATATATATATATATATATATATATACGGTCAAACCTGTGTAAGACGGCCACCCATTGTCAAGGAGAAAAGTGGCCGTATACGGCAGGTGGCTGTCTTAGGCAGGATTGATCAAGATGAAGAAAACAAACCATTCCCAACTGAAGTCCCAATCGAAAGTATCATTGTTGCTGTTTTTGTTGTTGTTGGTTTGTATTTTGTTTGTTATTTTTATTTTGTTGCTGATTTTGCGCAAGAGTGACAATAAAACGAAATGTATATGACGAGGGAGACGGAGTGCCATGTTAAAACAAACACATGGGTCGCCACCACTCGAAGAACGAGTGGCGCTTCTGTCACAAGTTCATGTTGACGTCCTTTGTAATTTTGTTACAGACTGGGTAAACAGTGACCACTCATCTCACGTACGATTTGTGTATGAGTTCTGGGATGGGCTTATGGGTTATGAGGGATCACATGCTTACCTCACCAGCAGCTGAAAATTGGTACCTATTGATAGCCACATATTATATTATATATATATATATATATATATATATATATATTCATTTTTCAAAGTTCCTTGTTATACACTTTGATCAGTCCTTTCGGAGAATGACGTTTGATTAGAGGTTTTGTTTTTCAAACAAAGCTCTTCAGTTGAAAAAGGGTGTAAAAGAAATTGTAATAGCAGAAGTTCCACGCCCCCATAGACCTAACTGAGATAATTTAGAAGAAACAGATTGCTTTGACCCGTGTCTGTCAGAGCAACCCGGGCTGAGACAGATACAAAATCAAGTCAGACATATGGAGATACTCTTTTAATTTTTGAAAATCCCCACTCTTGAATCGTACTCCAATTAATTTTCTGCATGCGCAACAATACTGACACTGATAAAAGGAAAGGACAACTATAGTATTTGAACAAGCAAACCAACCTGGAGCAACTGTTGTTGCTGGTGCAACTGTTGTTGCTGTCTCCCGGTAACAAACGGTGAACACAGCCCTGCATTGTGACAGTGCGACGAATTCGTTGCCGTGGTAGTAGTAAGTCAAGCCCTCCCGACATGTCGAATAACCGTGTCCATAGCCATTTCCCTGACGCCCGCTATTATACCCATAACCTTGTGACAAAGGGTAACCATATCCTTGACTGTTTCCGAGTGATGGATACCTACTGCCGTATCCATACCCAGACCCTTGGTTGTATCCTCTTCCTTGAGCGGAACCATAACTGTTACCATAGCCGTATCCGTTTCCAGGACTCTTCACTCCTAATGTGGGACCCAGTTTCACACTGACGATCTCGCCATTGAAGCTTTTCTTCACACCGTAATAGGAGACCACTTTTTTGCATATATCTGTAAACAAAGGATATATAGCATATATACACTACTGATTGAAAGGCGGGGTGGGGGCGGGGATATTACAGTTGGAAAAGTCTATAAACCAGTTGAAACTGCATACAGAAAAGGAAGAGAAAATAGAAACAACGTTTAACAAATAATACTCAAAACAAGGTTAAAAATGAACAATATTATTATGATAATACAAGCTGGAGATGTGTGTTTATCGCGACAACCTGAAGTTTAGGACTTAAACTATCTTGTATTGCTTTGGACTGTCACTAAAGCCACGACTAATTGAGGACAATATCGCTGTTTTGCAAGAATTTAAAAGAATTTTGGAGGAAGTGTCTGTTTAAAAAAAAAGATTAAAAAAAATGATTCTGTGAATATATCAGTCCGTTACTGCGCTATACCGTAAACGATCTTTTGTGAATATCTCTGGAAGTTACAGGTCGATCTTCATGATTTTTTCACCAGAAGTTAGAAAGACTTCCTCTATACGGTGTAGCACATTACAAAACCCAGCAGTTTAAAATTCTTATATGTTGTGGTTGTATTTGTTTGGTAACGAGTGTCTGGTTGATGCGCAAGGTGTCTGTTTGGGTGCAACATATCGACTGGTTGAGTGCGCAAAAGCACCATGATTACAGCTCTAGATCAAGATCTAGCTCTTTTTTGGCACTTTTCATCTTTCTCTATCTTGGCCTTGTCTTCTTTTCCTTGCAAAAAGTTCCTGTACTGACCGGAACTGGCCAAGGTCAATAAGGCGTGTTCTTTTTGGGAGCTGTGCGCCCCCTAACGGGAGATTTCCTTGCTTATACCGTGTGTATGTGTTTTGATAATGGATAAAAAGAAAGGTGCTGTGGACACAAGAAGGGGAAATAAGAAAACAAGAATTAGACTATACCTAGACTAGTTTTCTTAAAGGAAAAGGACAAAAAAGAAGAAGAAAAAGAGGTGAAAAGAAGAAAATGAACATTTTTGGAGATTAACATTTCCATATTAATTAATATTGACAAGAATACTTTCTGATCATCTTTCAATGGCAATATAACGCATCCAAACGGAAAGAAAACAGTCTGTTTCAGTGTGCAACGCAGGTCATAAAGAAATAAGTAAAACAACCAAAGGGCCTAGAAGCCACGCTATCAATGCCAAATAGCAAAAAAGCCGATACTACGCACTTAAACGGACAGAATAAATTTGGTCTGCATTAGTGCGCAACCCTATTTGGAATGTTCCTGCGCATAAAGAAGCAGCCTGCGATAGTATTTTATCGTTTCTAGTATACATTCCACGATACATTAGAGCTAGATTAACTAGATGTGCTAAATAATCCCAAGCGCATAGTTAAGTCACCGATACCTATTACGAAAACAATCAACAAGAAGGGACAAAATTTTCCGACACCTTAGAACCACGTGTGTAGACAGAGACAGAAACCTCCAAAACGAAAGTGAAATAAGCTACATTCTGCGCAAGCTCACAGAAAGTGATACCGTTTCCGCTGTTCTTATCCAAAACAAAGCAGGAGACCAGGGTTACGCACCCAAGCAGACACGCAGTGATCAGGATTAACTAAATAAAAATAAAAATACAAGAAAATAAATTTGTTTCGGAAAGCAGTACATAAATGCATAAATAATACACAGTATAGTAAACACAGACAATCTACACACCATCGCTGGTCGCCTCTGAGCGACGCGCTGTTCTTAGCTCTTTGGGCTACGGTTATCGTGCCTTGTTCAAGGACACACCCTAGTGTCCCAAAACGCCGTGTCACTGACACACACTTGACATAATTGTGAGCTGGGGCTAATTTACAGTGCACAGCCCCTGCGACCCCCCGCCACATGGTCGGGAAAATTAATTAAAGTCAATTGTTTATGTTTTAGCGTTCGTGCTCAAGGCCTTATCTCGAAAAGAAGCTCCAAAATGTTATTTTCATAATCTTTCTCACATGAAAGGAAAAGCGTAAAGACTAGATATTTTTTAACACAATCAGAAATTGGATCTTTTTATTGATTGCCTGTAGGCCCTATACTACATAATTTTATTATACTAGCGTATTACAGTGCTTTGTTTTCTGACCACTGTTACACTCCTTGTTCACAACACCACTTAGTTCCTTCATAAGAAGTCATGATAGTTCCTGTCACATTTACGCAGACGACACCCAGATGCCTATGTCCCAAGAGCCAGTCAAATGCATTTTAACAGCTCAAATCATGACAAGACGTGTTTTCAAAGTCAAGACCTGAATGACGACCATAAGACCCAAATGATTTTATGGAAGCCAAAGTCTGTGGTGACAGAATTTGATAGGACTGAACATCTTGTTGTTGGAGAAAGTGATTTTAAAGCAAAGGCAAAAAATTTAGAAGTTATATCTGTCAATAAATTTTCTATGCACCAACAACTACAAAATATATGTAAGGCTGCATATTAAGAGATACGAAGAATCGTAATGGCACCAAGACATCTCTTAAGACACTGACAGATAAGATAAGATAAGATAAGATACATCTTTATTGTCCAGATCCTGGCACATTGGTTTGGTGTTCCACCACGTGTACACATACACACACACACACACACACACACACACACACACACACACACACACACACATACATACACAAACATACACACGCACACACGTGCACACACATGCACACACAAGTAGGCTTACAATCAAATGCATAATATAAATGAGCAGCAATATAAACAATAAAAATCGTACGCTAGATACACACTCAATGTTATTTTGATGCATGCTCTAAGGTCGTAAGTATACTTATACAAGATGGTTAAGATGGAAGCATTTTGATAGATGATGGTAAAAATGACCTTCTGTATCTTTCTTTATTACAGATCAGAAGCCTAGGTCTTTTGCTTCTGACGGATGTTTTTATTTGAGGGAACAAGGGATGTTTGTTGTCTAAAAAGATGGAATTAATTTTCTTAGTGCAAGCTGTTTTGACGTCATAATTTCTATTGTCCAGCATTGACTTTTGCAACTCACTCCTTATAAAAACAACACCAGAACTAATCAATGCAATGCAAATACTTCAGTACTAAGCTGCGAGAGCATTTTTTTCAAAAGTGTATAAGAGAACACACAACATCATTCCTTCAGAGCTACACTGGTTCTCTCTCAAAGCCCTTGTTTATTACACATTTGCAGTAATGTGTTATACGATTTTGCACCAAGATATCTTTCTAATTGACGACAGGAGTAAATTCAATCTCGAAATTTACGGTCCATTAATTTTTTTTTCTTTAAATAAAACGCAAAACTGAGCCTCATAAAACTGAATGAATAAATGGCATTTTCGGCAGCTGCTCCCTCAGTGTGGATTTCCCTCCTACTGCATTTTATAGAGGCTCCTACTTGGACAGCATTTAAATCTGAAGTAAAAACATGTATTTAAATCCTATTTTACTAACTAGTTTTTTGTTTGTTCGTTGTTTGTTTTTTGTAAGTTTTTTACGGCACTCCCAACTGCATAAGATGAGCGCGCGAGACACATTAAACATTTTCAGTAGGTAGGAAATTTTGCATTTTGCCTGGGTGGCGGCCAAGCCTACTGTTATCGATTTTAGACCACCAAGGGATCTTTAACGTGCGCAATTTGCACACGGGACCTCCGAGAGTTTGAGCCCTTGTCCGAGAAAGCTAGGTGTAGATCTTTCCTACCAGAAGATCAGGGGAGTGGCTGAAAGACAGCAGTAAGAAGGAGCCAAGGAGTAGCAGTAAAAAGGCTGCAGAAAGAGTCAAAAGCGCAGAGGAGGGGGTAAACGGAGGTGAAGGGGTTGGAGCAGAAAGTGGAGACGAAAACAGACGACAGAACATTGCTAGAGAGCAGGAAAGGAGATGAAAGGAGACAATTTTAGAGAAGACATTTTTTTCTGTCGCTACCCGAATTCGAACCCGGGGCCTTTGAATGAGAGGCGAACCCCTTAATCTCTAAGCCACGAGAGCGTCCACTAACTAGTTTGATTTCTATTTCAACAGAAAGTGTGATCAGAAGCCATAGTGACAGTCTGTTAGTTTAATAATTATTGTTCTTTGCAAGCGTATGAGGTATGTATTATATATTTGACAACTTGGAAACACATGTGTCTCTTTTCACATAATAATAATAATAATAATAATAATAATAATAATAATAATAATAATAATAATAAATAGCATTTGTATAGCGCATATCCCCGCTCAACTGCAGGCTGTATGCGCTTTACACTATATTATTACCCCAGCAGACCACAGAACACTCCGAAACATTCTCAGCTTCCCGGGAAGCATACAGTGCAAGCAGCTGATTAAGCGCCCAAACACTAACAAACTGACAAGATCTTTCGCTGTCTATAGCCGGGTACCCATTCCCACCTGGGTGAAGTGAGGAAAATTCGTGTAAAGTGCCTCTCCCAAGGACACAACGACGGGCCCCTGACGGGATTCGAACCCACGACCTTACGGTTGCGAGTCCGAGAGACTGACCACTAGGCCACCGACGCCACATAAAACTACGACAGCTACAGAGTTGAAAGTTGGCAAGTACCTGCGAAAAGATAGATAGGTCCCCATGACGAAGCCCAATTTTTTAATTTATTTCTTCCTGAATTTAGACAAATATATTTGACAAAAAGTTCCCGTCCTTCTTTGGTCTTTGTGATTATTCAACTGAGAAACGAAACAAATATGCGTAGAGCTGTCCTTCTCGGCGGAAGTGCCGGAAGTGATATTTTGCGATGTGCATTTCGTTTTTAGAGAATAGATCTAGACCTTCTAATTTTTTTGCATCTCTCAAGATTTATTGCTCCATTCCAGTAGAGTGTAAATATAGTATGCCAATGACTTTCAGTTTATGGTTAATGCACCGATCATCCCTTTCATCGAAAGTGGGCCCTGCTAGTTTGAAATAATTGCTGTGTGTTGAATGGGCCAGAATGCATGGAAAGGTGATTTAAATCTTATTTCATTGTGAAGCACCTAGAACCTCCAAGGAGTGGGCGTAATAGTAGTGGCCGTTAATCATGTTCCTGATGAAGCCCGAACAGGGCGAAAGTTGTATATTGAATTTAAAACTGTCATAAAACTTCTAATCTACTCAGGTTGAGATTTGCTTTTTGTTTTTCGTTTGGTACTATGGGGAGGGACATCAACCTGCATGGAAAAGCCAGAAAAATATCCAACTGGCACGATCAGCAAGTCAACCCTTTCATGGATAATGAAATGGCATGGTACCACCTGCAATGATACCCTATTCTCCAACCAAGTAAGTAAGTAATTACTAGATCTATTTAACTATTACTATTATTACCATCATCATTATTGTTATTAATATAAGTCGGTGGCCTAGCGGTTAGGCTACCGGATTCGAGATTGGTCCTTTCGGAGATGGGCGTTAAACTCAGAAGTCCCGCCTCTTAAATAACCTAATACATGTAGTGTTGAAATGGGTGTTAAACATATGCTATTTCACCATGTTTCATTATCATTAAGATTATTATGATTATTATGATTATTATTATGATTATGATTATGATTATGATGATGATGATGATGATGATGATGATGATGATGATGATGATGATGATGATGATGATGATGATGACATTATCGCCTTGCACAATGGTTGCTCTGAAACAACCCTACAATTTCTCACTGATCTGAACAAGGTGCACAACTACATCAAATTTACTTATCCCAGCCCAGATAAGTCCACTTCTTTCCTGGACATGTCCCTTCTCATTGCAGATAACCAAATTGAGACAGACCTGTACAAAAAAACCTACCGACTCAAATCGTTACCTCCCACCTTCTTCAAACCATCCTAAACATATATTCCGTTCTGTGGTCTATAGTGGTGCCCTTAGACTACGCCGCATTTGCTCCTGTGAAAATTCTTTTAAATAACGGATAGAGGAATTCACAGTCAACCTTCTTCACAGTGGGTACCAAAAAGATTTTATAACGCCCATTATCGAGAAAGTCAGCAAATTGAACCGCACAACCCTCCTGACCTACAAACCCCTAAAGCCAAAACAGAAAAGACCATTTTTCGTCACTACTCATCACCAAAAACTACCTAAGGTACATAAAATCCACAGCCAACACAAAAGCATCTTGGAAAAATCAGACAAAATGAAAGCCTGCTTCCCCGACCCTCCTCTGATTGCACTTCGTCAGCCTCCTAATCTTGGCAACCTCCTCATTCGCACTAGAGCAGTAACACCCACGTCCTCACTTCCGGTAAACCCATGTTCCCCGCCTCAAAATTATCCTTGTCAAAAACCTAGATGCAAAACATGTGCCTACATGAAAGTAACCAACTTTGTAGAAGGCCCCCACTTTAAAAGAAAACTTTCCCACAGCATCACTTGTGAAACCAAAAATGTAATCTATCTCATATCCTGTAAAGTCTGTCCAGCTCAATATGTAGGTCAAACTACCACCACACTAAGAGCTAGGTTTAATAACCATAGGTATTCAGTCCAGAAAAACTCCAGCACACCAGTTGGCCAACATTTCAACAGTCCTGGTCACAATGGTACCTCCGATTTGCAGCTTCAGGGAATTGAAATAGTCCAATATCCTACTAAAGAAAAACTTAACCAAAGAGAATCAATGTGGATTTGGAACTTGGGGTCTCACAAAATTCTCAATGGCCTTAACATCGACGAGCCCCATTTTAAGGACCTAAAATTTACAACGTAACGTACTATTCACCCCTTATGTTCCTGCAACACCCTCCCTTTGGCCCTGCCTTTCTGTTATACTCCTTACCTCCACGTACTAGTTCTCTCTCTCTCTTTCTCTCTCTCTCTCTCTCTCTCTCTCTCTCTCTCTCTCTCTCTCTCTCTCTCTCTCTCTCTCTCTCTCTCTCTCCACTTTTTGCCTTCGTGTTTCCCCTCCTCTAGCCTTTTCGACTCATTGATTGTGTTCACCGCACCCTTCCGTTATTATATTCCTTACCTCCCTGCCTTTCTGTTATACTCCTTACCTCCACGTACTAGTTCTCTCTCTCTCTCTCTCTCTCTCTCTCTCTCTCTCTCTCTCTCTCTCTCTCCACTTTTTGCCTTCGTGTTTCCCCTCCTCTAGCCTTTTCGACTCATTGATTGTGTTCACCGCACCCTTCCGTTATTATATTCCTTACATCCATGCATATGTTCCCCCCCCCCTCTCTCTCTCTCTCTCTCTCTCTGTCTTTATCTCTCCCTCTTTTCCTTTCCCTCTCTCTCTGCCACCTCTGGCCCTAGTGTTTCTCTTTCTCTGGCCTTTCCGATTTGTGTTCACCGCACCCTTCTGTTATTATATTCCTTACTTCCACGCACCTTTCCACCTCCCCCCCTCTCTCTCTCTCTCTACCACTTCTGGCTTTAGTGTTCCCTTCTCTCCGGCGATTTGTACTCACCGCTCCTTTAAATATTCAGACATTTATGTACGCACTTTAGTTTTTATAGCCTGTGTATATGATGATGGTGATGGAGATATTTCCGATATTGTCCAATCCACACCAATACGTAACTTATAGTGAACACTTTGTTGCTGTGGCGTCATCACCCATTTATTTTTCCCAAATACTATGTTCCTGATGAAACCTTATTGGCGAAACGTTGAACTGTGAAATATATATATTTTTTTGGAAATACAACAAGGTCTTAACTGTTTTAATACCTTCTTTATACAATGATGATGATGATGATGATGATGATGATGATGATGATGATGATGATGATGATGCAAAGCATAACACAATATGTTGCTGTTGTAGCTGGTGTTATTGTTGGTGTTGATGCTGTAGTTTTTGTTGATGTTATTGTCGTTGTTGTGGTCTTTGTTGTTGTTGTTGTTGTTCTTTTTGTTGTTGTTATTGTTCTTGTTGTTATTGTTGAAGATGATGTTTTTCTATTTCTGCTGTTGTTCTTGAGCCTGTGTGTGTGTTTTTTTATTCTACATTTTTCATGTGCACTCTTTCCGCTGCCAGTGTTGCAGTGCTGATTTATCGCATCGTACCTGGTGATACAGTGGTTGCCGGGGCAACTGTCTGCGGCCTCTCGTAGCACACCTTGAACACACCGGAGCAGCTTCTCACTGAGAGGACACTTCCGCTGAAGGAGTAATCGGAGCCTTCGTAACAACTGCCGTACCCGTAGCTGGCTGGGCCGTACCCGTACGAATTACTCCTGATGACGATGCCCTTGACGACCTCCACACTGATGATATCGCCTCCAAACTCTCTATTTCCCTTCTTGACGATATGGACGTTCTCACATTCTGGTTCTGTACTCAGGAATACAGGATTGTTTGGTTTTTTTTTTTTTAAATATGGCTGTGAATGCTGGACAATCACTAAAGACAATGAAAATAAAAATAGAAGCAACAGAAATGTTGTTTCTAAGGAGACTGCTTATAATATCTTGGAAAGAAAAGAAATCAAATGATGTAGTAGTTGATGAAGCCCACATGGGACGCTCACTGATAAAAACAATCAGGAAAAGACAAAATATGCAGTTTTTGGGACACCTGAATAGACATAAAGTCTTGAACATCTAGCTCTCACTGGCAAAACTGAAGGCAAGCGAGGCATGGGTAGGCCCAGGGCAACCAACTTACAGCACCTGAACAGTTGGGTAATGTGGAAAGATCAGGGTAACGTAGCTTTTTTTTTCAGAACATCCGAGCAAAGGAATGAATAGAGAACCAAGGTCGCCGACGTCTGCCGCAGATTTAGCACTTGATGATGATGAGTAGGCCTGCTATCGGCTATGTCGAAGGAAATTTAGTTTGAAATATAAATAAGTTAGCATTCTCTGCAATCCCAGACTATGGGGGGAAAGTTCATGACACACTTTCCCCCGGGACCCAATAACCAAATCACGCTCATTGGGTCCTCATTAGGAATGTCTTGCTCTCTGCGACTACACAGTCTAATCTAGTCACTGTTGTATGTGTGCGTGTGAGTGTGTGTTTGTGACAAACACGCATGCACACACATAATACAGAAACAAACACACTCACCAGACATTATCTAGAATTTCTTCTGAACCTATGAAGTCCTGCCTTTGAACTCAACTTACCCTCATTTCAAAGCCCTACCCACATTTTGACCAACCCATCGCCACTGGGACCAAGCTCCTTGTCTTCGAAATGCCACGCCACACTTTTATACTGGGAGGGGGCGATAGCTCAGCTGACACCATGCTTATTATGGTGCAGATGATCTTGGTTAGAACTCCGGACTTTGGGGAGTTTTCAAAGTTCTCCACTTACCTCTTTACTTATTTCATAATCTCACAGTGCTGAAATGAGCGATAAATCAAGGCTATGCAATACCTTAGCACAGGGTGCGAAGGCTGACTTGTTTTGACAGGGCGATCAAAGTGAGACAAAGAGCTTGATACAGATGAGGTCAAACACGAAAATATTTCCTACAATAGAAATACGATTTTAGACAAAACTTCTTTTCCGAGGCAGCATCATTGAGTTGTGAAAGAAAATAAATCATAATATCATTGTATGTTCACTCGCCAAAACAATCGAGTGCATATCTCATTAAATACTTATTCCCACTTTAGGCAAAACGTAATTATGATAACTTTTAAACGCGCATCGGAAATAATTGTCTCAAGATGTTCTAAAAACAGAGTTAACTGAAGATGTGAATATACAAATCGAAGGCAAAGAAAGCAGAGATTACAATACTATAATGTATTATCCATTTGATTTCAAATTCAAAAGTCTTTTATTAACCTTTTTTGACCGACCGACCACCAGGAGCCGATGCCATAACATACCGAAGACCTGATTATAGGGCTATAGAAGTCGAGGGAAATACATGCATCAGAGAGCAGTCAGGAAACTTTTAGGATTAGTCCCCCTCAACTTCTTGCAAGTAGATACTACCTGTCTAATTTTCTAAATGTTAATTTCATAATCCGTGCACGTGGCTGTTTATGAGAGTTGCCCTATTTATGTGTCAATGATATAGCTTCGAATATTGTTCACATTGCTCATTATTCTATTTAGATAGATCAGGCCTACGTCTATGAGGAATTTGACTGCAACGATGTTCCCAAATCAAGGAAGGGAAGCAGTGATTTTATGATTATGTTGAAGTTACCTCCTGCACAGCATTCTATTTGGCGAATGTCTTATGGACATTTTAGTACAGGCCAAGTCATTTAAAAATCTTACTAATATTTCTAATATTCTTATCTTTTTTAGACTTGATTTTGAAGCATGGCCTCAAATTCACAATTTACATACTTTTTCAAAAAGTTCAAAAAGGCTTGATCAATAAAATCTATGGGCTTTGGTATGTCGGCACAGAACCGTAGAAAATCCCACAAATCAGGCAGTATTGGTACGCTCGAAGGTGAGCACAAAAGTCTACTCAAAGTTTGGAAATAATCAACACTTAGAGCACCTTGGCTGGCAATTCCAATCCCTTCAATGTTACCAATAAGATATTTAGATTCAAAACGTCGTAAGGACTTCTATTTTGATATATTGTCGCTAGATTCGTTCCATACGGCGGCTTCTCTTTAAAAAAACCCACACGCACAACAGACTTACCTGGGGCTAGCGTAGTAGCGGGCGCCTCAGTGGCTGTGTCTTCATAGCACACTTTGAAAACGGCCTTGCAGTTTGCTAGAACAACGAATTGGGAGCCCTGGAAGAAGTAATCCACATTCTCAGTGCAGTGGTAGTAGCCTCCACCGTATCCTCCGCTAC